CTAAAGCCGCCGCCATGTAGCAAATTCACAGCCGTTCTGATCTCGGCTTCGCAACGAAAGTGAAACCCGGTAAGTCCATTTGTTATGGCCGAGAATAAAGACTTGTTTTGACCGAAGCTGACAATTGCATTTCCAGAGTGTCGAGAGCTGAACAAATTCCTAGCCCAGTTGTGTTTTTCACTACGCCTCTATTCTACACTTTCGCCCGGTTTATTGCATTCATTTAATGCCGCCGAGCAATTAAGTCGAAGCCAATGAAAATGCCTCCTCCAATGGGAAAGCATTTGGATTTGTTTGGATTATGCTTCGGTTTCAACTCATTCGAAGTGGGAGTACCCTAGAAAAAAATTTGCCTTCAAAGTTGAATTAACTTAGCTTAGCTTAGATGTAGCTATTAGATTAAATTATAAACCATTTTTGTGCACACTAAAAAATGTAATGCAACGCCTCTAAAAAATATGTGGATCCAGGAAAGATATAATCAGAAAAGATAAAAATCTTGTATATTTTGATCTATGACTATAACAAGCAAGCATGTAATAAATAGTTTTGACTTGGCATTTTAAGTATAACAACAATTTTAAATGATTTAATTGTAGGTGAGTAAGGAGTTAGGAATATTATAATAGATATCAATTTTTGTAATTTGAGTAGTCTATAAAAAAGATATTATACCAAAGCAAGGCTGAATGAAACTAGGCCAACTCCAAGAAGTTCCTGTCTGTCTGTAGTACGCCCATAAAAACCCCAAAGCCACCACAGATGTTTATTCGCAAGCCTTTTGGCCAGCTTTTCATTGCCACCACTATGGCCATTATAACCTCTATAGCTATACCCACTATAACCACTGGCTCCACAACCACCGAAGGTATAAAAGGTTGCCCGTGGAGCGCGCCCAGCGTTCGCTTAAAGTCCCCAGAAAAGCAGCAGAAAGCCAAGAAACGCGCGTGCGCAGCCGCAAAAAGAGTCAGTCGATCGTCGGCAGTCTCCGCATAGAGTCAACTCAAATCGTGATCCGATCCGTGTTCTCCAGAGTGCACTGCATTTCCATATCTCCATACACAATATCATTTGCAGCAACTTGTTTTCAAAGTCATTACGTGTCGGCCAGTCGCTAAACAAATTGTGCATTTTTAAAGACAATCGCACGGAGCAAGTGCAAATCAGACAATTTATGCCATATTTTTGTGGGTTTTCTGGAGCTTCCTGACACAAAGTGCGATCACCTGCATACGAAATCCAAGGAAATATAAAAAAGGAAAACAAAAATACACACGGTCAATATGCAAATGGAGAAGGTAAGCGGTGTCTGTTTTAAGTTATCAATTAATTGATGAATTGAAAAAAAGATATATCAAGTGATGGGATCAATCAGAGCCCACCCTTTTCGTGGAACTTTCACTTTCGTTCGCCAGACTCACAATTAGATTCAGTTTAAGATTCAAGACTCAGGTTTAAGGTTAGGCCACTGCCATCTATTGCCTTTGAACTGGTCTTAGCCATGATTCCAACTCGAACAGCGGCTGAGTCAGCCTCCAACGAGCCGAACTGGCAATGCAGGCCACTAAAACCCAAGCGAATGGGACGAAGAGTGGGTCGGGGCCAGAACTTTGCTGGCTGGAATCGTTACTCTAAGAATAACGCGAAAATATAGTAAGATTCAGAAGTGCAGCTATAAATACCTTGCAATTATTTTTACCAAGACGAGGAAGCTACTTCATGAAGCTTATAGATTGGGGAAGGAAACGTTTCTTCAAGGAAATGTTGAAAAGAGATTATTGTTAGTTTTATTTTATTACAACAATAATTCACAACCATGAAAAAATTCGATTAGTTGTTTTATTTAATATATAATAGATTACATACATAAATGTAATAAGTTAACCGGGTAGTTAATCAATAGGGGTCTATTTAAATAGTTATATTTGTGTGTATTGTTAAATTATTTACGTGTTTCTTTCTTATCTGTGTAAGTTACTTACAGGTGAACTACAGCAATTAAAATACAAATAACAATAATAAAGCAATTACGAATCATTACAAAGATTGAGGGGTCAGCACCAGGAACTTTATACTTGTAATCTGTTAGTTAAGGCAAACAGATGAGGTATATGATAATACCACAATTATTTAAAGGTCTGAACAAAGCAATAATAAAACCAACCCACTAAAAATGATCTTCAAACACGCTTAACAACTTTAGATGTCATGAATTAGTTTGAGTACAAAATGATCAAGTGCGTTTTTGAGAAACACTGCAGGTCAATCCCCTTTCCAAGCCGAATTCCATTGACACCTTTGAGTGACCACCCACCCCGATTTCTCGGAAAGCCAGCCTATGGAAACACCCATGGCCAAGCCAAGAGTGCGTGTTATCCATTGAACCATTTTGAACTATCACTTTTAACGCGGCCATTACAATGGCACTCGAGGTGGCCCAATTTCTTGAAGTGGAGTGCACTTGATCTACGATTATTGTCTGATTCGGCTCAATTCACTCCAATTCGATACGTTTAATTTCACTGTTGCCAGATGCCGATGAAATCGAAAACGAAATCACAGCTAGAAGAGAAAAGGAAAAGCGTCGAAAATTGCTCCCTCGAAAGCAAGATCATGGCGATCGAGAGTGGGTGAGCCCGCCGAGGAAAGTCAAAGTGAAATGCTTGGAAAGCAAGGCAAATTGCCAGTCAGTCAGTAAGTCAGTCAAAGAGGGCGGCCCAGCCCGGCTTAAGTGTCTGGGTAATCCGAGAGCGGCAATTAGAGTGCAGCCCCCGGGGATCGGGTGATCGGGGATCAAGATCAGAAACGCGGTCACAGTTCCGCAGATCGCTCCAGTGCATTTCCATGCTCCAGTACCAAAGCCACGTCAATGGGCAACTCGTCTAACCGGACCTAGACTCCATCTCTCTGAGAAAAAGGCCTTTTGCCGCAGCTCCATTTGAACCCAAGCACTGGGAGATTAGACCTTATATCTAAAATAAGGGAAAATGTCTTAGAACTGAAAAGTTTTAGGAATAAAGATTCATACTGCTCTATTTCATCTAATTATAAATAATAGGATATGATTAAATAAAATCAAAACAAATGTGATCTAATTAAATTTTTTATTTATGTTATGTTTAGTCTAACTAAAGTAAAATCATTCTTAGCCTTTAGAAAATAAAGAACTCAATTCTTAATAGATTTTGCTTAGTGTGATCTGGTTCCCCGTCCGGTTCGATCGGCTTCTCCGTAATCCAATTAAAGGAACAATCTACATTTCAATTCAAAACTAATGAAGTGTAGAGAATTCGCAACAAAGGCTGACATGTGTTGATTGTTTCGCCGACTGCAGTGGTGGTATTTGAAAGTCGTGGTTTCTTCGGAGCCATTACTAACAAGCTTCCCTGTAGAGTAGCTCCAGCTCCAGCTCGCCAACTTCCGTCAAACACAAACACAATTGTGCGTAGTCTAAACAATTCATTGATTGATTGTCGCTATGGCGATCAATTAAACAGATTATGGTTTTTCATTGATTTCTCGCGCAGTAGTGACAAAATACCAGGGACAGCTGTCAATGGAAAATAGATACTTATAGTACTTCAAGATATACCCACTTATTTGGATTTCTATTCCCGGTAGCACACACTTCTGATTCTTGTTCTACTGGGACTAATCTTGTGGACGGGTTCTTCGGAAGCAGCCCGCCGATTGAGGAAAAAGCCGAAGGTCTACAATGCCCTCATCACCACCGATGACAATCTGACTTCCAGCCGGGCCTATCCGGTCATCCAGCCCACTATTCATGAGCCTGGATACGCCCCCTTTGGACCCTACAATCCCTATGGCTTCTACAGTCCTCCGATCGTGCGGTTTGGTCAGCCAATTGTCCCTGGTTTAACGCCCAATGAAAGGGTGAGTCTATGTAAAGCTTTAATATTTATATAATAATATTATCTTTATGATTCAAATGGTCTAATCAAAGTGTGCAGTATGCAAATTACTATCATATTCATTTGCTAACAATTATTTTTAACAACAAACTCTTGCTAGTAATTTGAAATAAATAATTATTTCAACAATAGTTACCCAAGAATTTGCTAATTATTATTTTAGATATATTCAAAATCCATACTGTTTAATGGTAATTCATTATACCTTTCAGCTCCCATACCCCCTGCCAGCTCCTGCCCAGTATCCAAGTGGCTTTGCACCATATGAGCCCCAACAGCCGGTGGAATCTCCCGTGGAGCAGCAACCCCAGCCAGAGTCGCCTCCAGGATCCGTGGAGCCGCAGGAGATGCCCAAGGAGCAAGCCCCACTGCCACTCAACCAGCAAGGACTGCCGCCCGTACTCATCCCCCTGCCCTCCCAGTTTAGGGGACAACCCATGCACCTGCCTCCGTATCCGTATAGCCAGTACCCAGTGATCTATGACCAAGCGGGTTATATAAGGCAGAACTATTTGCCTCCTTACGACTACTACCCCAGCCAGGGCTATCCCATTCGCGAGGCCACATCTCCTACAACTTCTCCTCGACAAGGGGAGGAACAGCCTCAGGCCCTTAATCCTCCCCAGAGTCCTCCACAAATACAGCCACTACCACTGGATAATCTGGAACCCGCGCAACCCAGCTTCGAGGACATTCGCAACGGATCGGAGAGCAAAAACAGTGCGGTTCCGGATGTTCCACCTCCGCCAATACCCTCCGGACCCAAACGTCCGCGACCCGCGGAACCCGAACCGGAAAACTGAATGCCAGCCGCATAATTCCGGTTGCACAGATTCCATACACGTATTTATTACCATTTCGCTTAGGCATAATATGATTCGATTGTACAATGTCGCTTAACCCGTAAGCTAAAGTAAGAGTTCATTCAGAGATAACGAATAAATAATATAAAATCGCCACTGCGGTGAATGAACTTGGAGGGGTGACCAGTTCCCTTGAGGGAACTACGGGATGATTTCGCTTTCTTCGGGGAATTGGGATTTGTTTATCTCAGCTTGGAGGGGACTATATAAGAATCGAAGCTGGTGTAAAAAGTTACAGTCTGCATTGAATGAGGAACACATAATGAAGCTGACTCTGCTGTTAATCGTTTGCTTTTGCCTTTTTGGGATGGGTAAGTAAGCTTTTAGATTTATAAGGTTTTTAAATTTCCAGTAAATAATAATAACTATATTACAGCCCTGGGCAATCCAATTGTGGTAACCAAGCCACCATTCATTCGCAGTCGCTATAGTTTGCGTTGGCGAAAGACAACCACGGTGGTTCCCGAGGCACCCACTGGATCCTCAATCAATATCGTCACTACCACTGGTCATCCCAGTTTGGCCTCCTCCACCGCCAATGTGGACTACGATTATTACGGCAATGGAGAGGTCGAAAACGTCGTGCACAAGTAAACAAGATATACCACAAAATTAAAATTAAACTTTCAATTAAATCATTTATTAATCAGCGCAACATAAAAATTCTAACAATGTATGAGGACACTACAATCGCAATCGCAATAAATAGATTTTAAATGTATGATATTTCTTACGTGAAGAATACAATATATATAAGTGGACTTTGCAATTAATATAAGTTTAATTTCCTCATAGTTAAAGTTTCCACTTATCAGCGAGCTTTACGACCTGCGATTTTCCACGGGAAAGTACATTTTTATTATAATTGAATTGATTAGATAAGATAAAAAGACTTCAAGCAGTTGACAAACAAATAGTTAAACCTTTGCAAAATTCACAGCAAACCAATATTTAGGTACGCATTATTTAAATTTAAATATAACGGTATTTATGACTGTTATCACGAAAAGGGGTTTTTAAAACAAGTTGGCATCCCAGAAATTAAAATCAATATGTTAACTGGATGTTAAGTTAACATGAAATACCAATCAGCTGTTCTCCGCCGGAAACAACAACAATAACAACGGCGAGCAACAAACGAGTTTTAAAACAAAAATGTTATTAACAATTAAATGCGCTCAGAATGTGATTAAGCCGAACTTTCAGAAAGTGGCCAATCTGCTCGCCAGTCGCTGTAAATCTGGTTTATCCCACGGCATTGCAACAACAGCAACGAGAGGCAGGTGGGAGGAAAAGGGGGCCAAAGGGGGGCAAAAATACCAAACTCAAAAACTGAGCTTTGCTTTTTCGCGCAGCGGTTGGCAAACCTTAGTTCTGTATTCGCCAGCAGCGAGAGAAGCAGCAAAAGCAGCAACTGGTGGCAGTGCAAATCTCCGGAGATTCTACGGCACCCAAAACTCTGAGGCCCCAGCGACCAAAACCACATCGAAAAAGCGCAAAATGGTGGTAAGTATTAATGAAAAGCGATTTACAGATCAAGGGCAATCGAATCTTAGCGAAATCGAGAGGTTTTCTTATCGCCTCAAATAGAAACGAGCCCCCAAGGGCGAGTTTTGACTTAAACAAGTGTTGTATACCCTAAACATATAGTGTACTACGATTATGGGAAGGAATTAACCTCTCTGTAACAAAAATCTTATTAACTCTTACTGGTAGTTTAACTAAATCAGCCAAAAATGCAAATACATTTATAAAGTTCCTTAAAACAAAGCCCCTTTAAGTAGAACCAGTTATACGAGAATTTAGAATACAATTTCCATAAAATTTTCTTTCAGTTCTTTGATAAACTGAAGTTAAAGATATAAAAGTGATAATCCCTACGTACCTATTGGCTACCTTTCAGGATTAATAAACTCTAATAATATAAATATGTTTCTGAATTCGTTTTTGGTATAAAGAACCGACCAGTTTAGAAGAATTTGCCATGGCGCAAATCCCTTAGAAGGAATATATCGCAATTTCTAACTATAATATAGATCATAGCTCCACTTACAACTTGTTTCTTGTCCCCAGGTGCGACTAAACGAGCAGGAGCGTGCTGAGAAGCTGCAACCTCTCCTGGAAGCCGGCTGGACTCTAGTAGAAGGCCGCGATGCCATCTTCAAGCAGTTCATCCTGAAGGACTTCAACCAGGCCTTCAGCTTCATGACGGGCGTGGCCCTGCTGGCCGAGAAGATCAACCACCATCCCGAGTGGTTCAACTGCTACAACAAGGTCGATGTTACCCTCTCGACGCACGATGTGGGTGGCCTCAGTTCGCAGGACATTCGCATGGCCAATCACTTGGAGACCACTGCCAGTTTGTTGAAATAAACGCATTGTTATACTAGTTGCTAGTTGTATATAATCTCTGGAGTCCAATAAACACTCAGCTTAACATCGATTTGCTGAAGATTTGATAGTCTGCCTGTTCCAGGACATCCGGGGAGATCTCGTCCTTGACGTAGCCGAGCTGCTTGAAGAAGGAAATGGACGTTTCGTTGTTGTTCAGGACGGTCAGCATAATCTTCTCCAGATGCCAGAGACGGGCGCAGTCCTCTAAAATGCTCATAATAAACTTTCCCAGGCCTTTTCTTCGGTGCTCCGCTGCCACCTGCATTTCGTAGCTGTAAGGAGGGTCTGAGGAATAACTATCTTTGGGATAATTATATGGAATACCTACCAATAGAGAACACAATCCCCGTGATCCATATCAAAGCGAAACATGGCGTAGGCTACATTCTCCTTCTTTTCATTTTGGGCCACCAAATACCGAGCCCAGTTCTTGTTCAATTCGGCTTGCTTGATCTTAGGCTGCCAGCCCATCTTCAGTTGTTTGTAGTAGGGTCCCACGTTAGTTTCGGCCAGTTTAAAGGCCCATTTTAGCAATTTTGAATCTGCATCCGTCTTCGTTCGGCATATCAGTTTGAATTCCTCTCCGCTGGCCGCCTTGTAGCTCTGGTAGCTGAGAGATTCCAGTGGATTCTTGGCCCTGGCAGCAGTCTCCACAAATTTCTGCTTGGCTCCTTGGCTTAATTCGTCTTGATTCGGCATAATTTGGTTAAAATTCTTAGGGAAATAAAAGGTGGTAGCAAAATAGCGCGCAAATTAGAGATGACAAAATGGGGTAAACAAACCAGATGAAATCGATATTTGATAACTACGGACCTCCGAAATTATGGTCACCCTGACAAATTAAGCTTGCGCCTAACAGCCCGCTCCAAGAGACTAACAGCACGGTTAAATCGTTAACAGTGCGGAGAAACTTAAAAAATACTAAAAATATACCTCAAAAAGCGAGTGTCTCCGCTAGGTTAGCAAATACACGAACCGAAATCTGCCGCCAGTTGCCAATGCAGCCCTGGTTTTACAGTTACTCCCGCGATCATTTTTTTTATTCAGAAATTATTTTTTTGCAAGAAGTTTACTGACTTTTCGCTGTTTTAAATTACGCAACATGTCCGAGAAAGAAGAGGAATCAATTGAATACCTAGTGGAAAAGGGTATTTTCCCCCGACTTCTGGAGATCTTGAAGCAATTGGTGGAAATAGACCCACTGCCAGCCGATCCTCTGATGTACATTTTACATTTACTGGGCTGTCCGCTGATTCCACAGGTTAGAATTCTCGGATTTTTCCATAAAATAATATAGAAAATACTATATGATTGTGGATATTTTCGATTTGCAGGCCCAAATGAAGGCCCTGGAGCGAAAAGTGTCGCGTGCCCACGATGAACTGCGCTATTTGCGACGTTTGATCATCGATTTGGATGGCGACGATCAGCTTTACGACAGCGAAAGCGATGTGGGTGAATATGTGGGCGATGTGGAGGACACCAGCTCATCGGCCAACGAGATTTCCCTGGTGGAAAGCATTGAATCGCAGGAAGACTCCTCACCACCCGATTTCACAGTCCTCTCTTCCAAGGATTCGGATTCCTCCCACTAAAAAATCGATTACTCTATAACGTATCCCATCACATTCGCCGTTGAGACCATATTATGTTATGAGAACATAGCTTTGGCAACTGCATGTGAGTTCTGGTTTGTTTGCCCTTATATTACATTTTGTTAAATCAATGCATTGTGAGACCTATTACGACTATTATCAACTATACTTGTTACATTGCGACTTGTAGAGGAATCCTCCCTACCATCAATTCATTAAACATTGTTATCCAGCATGAACCATAAAATAATGATGTATTAATTAAAGAAAATGAAATGAAAGAAAAGAAAATCTTGATAAATACTTTTAGAACCGTAGTATTTTGGTACCTTATATCAGCAATGATTTATATATATAAATGGTAGTAACATTCTCTTAAAACTATGTTTGGCCAAAATCCATGATGCTAGAAGTGTGATCCACTATTTCAATCTCCCATTTAGACAGTTGATTAAAACATGGGCTGAGCTTCCGATTCCTGCTTTCACCCATTTCGAGTTGATTGCCATTAAACCTCGCTACCTGTGGGAAATCAATAACTAATATATGGTACATGTTTGCTGGCAATATCTAGGGCCAAACAAAACAACAATTCAATTAACTTCAACATGGCGAGATGTGTAGCTACAGTTTGGCTGCAAAACGGGAAAATTTCATTTGCTACTAACACCATACATAGATTTTGAAGCAAATGTGGGGTTTTTGGGTCTTGGGTTAATTCATCATTATCGAACTGTGGATAAGCTGTACCTAATTAAGTCGGGCCGCCAGTAAAATGCAGTGAATTCAGTTTTGTATTTGACAGCCGAGGTGTGCTGAAATACATTTAAAATAACAAAAATTACACAGAATAAATTACCCAGAATGCGGCGCATTCAATTAATATAAGTACGAGGCTTTATATATAATTAGGTTAAGCGATAACTGAGCTGAGGGGAAAGTGATGTGAAATAATTATCTTGCACCTATGGAGATGTAAAGCTATTTATAAAACATCAAATTGGGACAAGAATATACATTTGCTATAGATTAAAGACTTTGTTTTAAATTCAATACATGTTGCTGGCAACAAAGTGTATGTTTTTTTGTTCCATCTCTTCACATTTATTTCATTAATTAATATTTTTCGATTATAGTTTTAAAGGTCTAACCACTTCTGTGCCATGATTGTTAAATTACTTCATCTTATGTACTTTTTGTAAGCCAATTCTTATTTGTGAAAATCAGTTTTCATATATGCTTTACAATTTTCTGACAGAGCCAATAAATCTCAATTGTTTTTGGTCAGTCCCATATTTAACCCACCTTTTCTTGCGTTTAATTTAACACGTATGATGCCCAGATGCCTGAAAAAGCAGACGGCCAAATGATTTACACCGTATATTTGTCACAGTGCGATAAATCCATCTAATCCCCCGACATCTGCATGTCCGGCTTGACAAATAAACTGCAGCAGAGCTTACATAAATATTTCTCTCCCAAAAAGAAAACATATTTGGCCACATAAAATAAACATGAACTTTTAAAGGGGGCGGTCGGCGGAAACGGGGCGTGGCCGGGCAGCAGCTGCTTTTAATTGCTTTTGCTGGTTTTTCGAACGTTTTTGCAACTTTTTAGTTGACATTGAATAATCGCTGCGGAAATTGTCGCTTAACGGGAAATTGTGGTAAAAGCGAAGTGGACTCAACTTGATAATTGATCGGAGCTCTTTAAAATTGTTTGTTTGACCGCTGCTGCAGGCCATTCTAGTTTTTTATTTGCCCGTTTAATCTGTGCACGCGTGCCGACTGCAAAGTGGCCAACAGCCTGCTCTCCTTTGCTTATTTTTTGGGCCAAATCTGCTTTGCATGTCAGTTGGCCCCGGGAACGTACAACTTTGACCACGTAAAATACGAGAACCCTGGGGCACTCGGCCACAGGCCAAACCGAGGGAAAACAAACAGGAGAAGGAACCAAATGAAGTGCAGTCGACCTCAAGAGGATCTCCACGAATTGGAAATGAGCTATGATCTGTCGAAATGGGTTAAATAGTCATAGAAATGTTAAAATGGTGTTACTAAGAAAAATATTTTAATAAGACCCAAAAGAAAACCCAGAAGTGAAGCTAAGCACATCCGGTTTTGGCTTTTATAAAGATTATAGTTGAATAATACCTTGATGTTATTTCAAAGATACGTATTTTAGGATTTTATTTTTAAATCTTTATCTTTTTGTGCCTTTTCGCCTAATCAAAAATGCCACATTTTCGGCTCTTCTAGTAAAAGCAATAAGTTGTCGAGAATATGTATACCACCCTGGATAACCAACAGAACAAAATAATCTTTCATTAAAACAGCTTTGCATATCATCAGGAAATTAATTTAACATTCCCCTACCTTTCCATTCATCACAAATTAATTGTTCAGCAAAATGCGTACAACCTGAATACCTCTTTATATGTATTCCGCAGAAATATAAATATTTATTAATGCTTCTGCTCTGATATTTCAGTGGGGACTGACTGCATTTGCAATCGGATTGAATGGATCCGCCAAAAATGAATGGGGAAAATGGAAAATGGGAAATGGGAAAGGGTGGCAAGGAGCAGCTCTTCTGTGCCGCTTCAATTTCATGTCGAGTAAATTTTAATTTACTGCTCTTTTGTGACCGCATGGGAGCCAACAAAACTTTGGGTTACTGGGTTCGTTTTTTATTTTTCCCCCATTTTTTTATTTGGTTTTTGGCTGGACTTGTGTGTGAGTTTTGTTTGGCTTGTTGGTCAAATGATATATCTGGTCGGTCGGTTCATTCGGCCCGAGGGCAAGTGTGGAATTTTTAAAGCCAGCGAACCGCCGGGCTGCCATTAGTTTTAATGACCGCAAAAGGCAACCGAAAAAAAAGGAAAGTGCTCGAAAAACAAAACAGAGGGCGAAATACAAATTTCAGCCATTGCTGGCAGGCTAATTGAAGTCTGTCTGAGTGGGCGGTGGGTTGCGTGGGGGCGTGGCAAATCTCAAAACTATGCTTCATTAGCCAAGCTGCAAACTCTATTTGCCTAATGGGGCACAGCCCACCAGAAAATGAAAACGAAATTAAGAAATTTCAGCCATAAAACGTGCCCGGCTTAAAGAATGAACCGGCCCCCCAAAAAAATACAAAAAAAAATGTATATCCTTGGAAAGCATTGAAAATTCAAAACACAACAATTAAAAAGCAATTAACTATGTAAATTTCAGCGCTGTTAATGAGCCGGAAAGTGTACGCACACACATATATCTTTTAGGGAGTTTTCCCTATTTTGGATACACAACATCCGACCTAAATACATCAATGTCTGCGAAATGTTTTGGCCAAATGCTTCACTCACACACTCTCACGTCCGAAAACATTTTATCATTTCCTGTCATTTTTCATGCCACGCAAAAAAAGGGTTAAACAATTTTTATGTGTCAACAAGAATAATTTCTGTCACTAACACGAATACAAAGCGAGGCGACTTGGCTCAAATTCCAAGAGTGGAAGTCGCTGGAAATGCGGGGTCTGGGGGGACTCTGCCGGCAGACAAAAGGCAGTTGGAGTATTAATAATGAAAACAGGAAGACGAAAAACCAAGAGAGAAATACAAACTGGGACAAACAAGACGACAAAGTGACACAGTGTCAACAAAAAGTGCTGCAACGGAATCAACAAGCAGCTTGGAAATTAATACTTTCCACACATAGGTGTGTGTTTCCATACATAGGTGTGAAATAGCGAAACGCACAGGATCTACGTGCAACTATTTGCTACGTATCATTATCCTTGGCCATAAAGTGCTGAGATGTGTGAGCTTACATTTGCCAAGACGGATGCCTTAAGGATGTTTGGCACGAAGTTATGAGGGACAGCAAGTTTGTTTGATACGGATTATATTTATGTCGAAACTTATAAGAATGTACTTGGCTTGGTCCAGTACCGACCTATATTGAAGAAAAACTTGTCAGAAAAATTACCCAGAGAAATGTAATTTTAAATTAAATGATGAATGATATGAAATCTCATATAAATTGAATATCAAGTTTCATATTTTATGTAAAAATTAGTCGATTACTAAACATTTGTTCTTACTGGATTACTGGACTATTTAATTACTTCATTCCTAACTACTCGAACCCGTCCCTTAGTTGCAATCCAATCCAATTGTATTTCGACTTGTAGGTACTTAATCCCCTTTCTCCTGCAGCATTTCAAGTTTAACAAATAAATAAGCAAATTTGGTTACAAAGGAGCTGAAAGAAAGCATTGCCAAGTAAAACAATGAGAGCAGGAAAATAATATGGGGGAAAGGACAACAATGGAGCCCTCGCCTTCATTGTGCTAAGTTCCTGCGATATAAATATGCTGTGAGCTATAAAATTGCAACGTTTATCAAGGCATTTGCACTGCTGAGCATGCCGATGGCAGAACTAAACTACTTAGCTATGACCTTCACAGATGCTTTGCCACCCTCAGCCCATTGTGCACTGAGAGAAAGGGGGATATACATTTAAAAAGAGGGGTAAACAAAATTGGCAATAAAAAAAGAAAGCATATATATCAAAATGAATAACACATGATTAGCATAAATAATTTTGCTAGGCTTAGAATCTACCTTTAATTTCCGATAGGAGATGGATAAATATTTTGAAAAAATTAAATATATTATATTTAAACTATTATCTCCAAAATTAAATATATTACAAAACTATTATCTCCAAAATTAAATATATTATATTTAAACTATTATCTCCAAGTGTAAGCTCCTTCCCCGTCCTACCACAGCCACCCTCCCCTTATTCTCCAGGTCGCACGGCAACAGCTTGGCCAGAATCATTATTAATACCAATTAAATGGGCTTAGGTCCGCCCTGCGTGCCCAATCATTCAATGCTTATTACGCATACGCCGCGTGGTCGCGCGGAGCTTGGAAATTTATTGCGTAACCATGGCAAAGACGAAACTTTTTAATTGAAAAAAGTGAGTGGAGATATCGGCTGGCGACCGACTAGATAGATCAAAAGCTCTAATTATTCTGCATAACGCTTCATTAGAAAACCGCGTTAAGAAAATGGCCTCTTAGTCCGCCGCCGCAGCCTGATGAATGACTTAATCACCCAGAAAAGCGCCACACAAATCAAGGGGCCTAACAGGATCCCACTTTTGCTGTCACAGAACTTTTGCCGGCGAAAAGAACTCAGCTCGGCTCAAAATTAATGGGCCAAATCAAACAAGCAGAAAGCAGACACCAGTTCGCCCGCAAAGTCCAGTCTGGGTCTGGGTTCAAATAATCCTGGGCCTTTAATAATCACAAGATTTGTGCGGGCTGCATACAAAATTAGCAGGAAGTCGTAGTCTTCGCATCGCATCGCTATAAACTTTAAGTTCCATGGTCAGAGCTCATTTATTTTCCCCTGGACGAACGTTTCATGGCTTTCCCGGGCCCTAGTTTCCATTTTTACTACTTTGTTTTCACCTTATACCCTGTCAGGGGATGTAAACGATAAGAAAGAAAATTAATTTATATTCCAAAAAATGTAAAATTAATTATTTTTAATTTCAAAGAAATTAAAGTGCTTCATTAAATTTAATTACCAACAAAAATATTTTATCTTCATGTGCTAGAGTATTTCATAGTTCATATATTTTGTACTACTTTTAAATTATAGCCTGGCGAAACTGCAAAAATATTAACTTCCTGAGCAACCAGCAAACAAACAGCCGAGAAGTCGGGTCATCAAGATTTTAAAACTTCATTTTTGTGGCATACTCGGCGGGGTAGTTTAAAAATTATGGCTTCCATTTCTGGCTCAGGTCGGTGGCTTTAATTAAGCCAAGGCAAACTTGAGTTTCCAGCACTTTTCCTTGGGCTTTCAGAAATGCACATGGAAAATTCGCTGAATTGGCATAAAATGTAATAATAATTTCGCAGCATCTTCTTGGGTTTTTGGGTGGGTTGTCTGTGTAAAGGGAAACAGCTGTTTCCGGCGGGAAAACCGGATGGGGTTAGTCTGGGCTGGGGCTTTTCCCCCAGAGAAGTGTGGAGTGTGGAAAGGGGGAAAATAATCGGAAAAAGCCTTTGTGGCATTGCGCGAATAAGCGTGTGCCGCAATTTGCTATTCATTTGAATTTTCAGCTGGCTGCCTGTTTCCCACTGCCGACCATAAAATGCAAGAGATTATGAAAAGTGCGCTTTTGGCCACTTCCTTATGCTGCCACAAAAATATTTGGCTTTATATTTTTCCGCCACCCGGCTTTCGTCTTCTGTTATTGTTGCGAGTGCGGCCACTGCCACAATAATAATCATAATGCAAATACGTGCTGCATTCCGGGGCGCTCATTCGTGAAATTTCAATGTGCCACAGCATTCATTTCGCTGTGCAATCATTGTTGAAATTTAATCAAGTCGTTTGTGAGTTTCATTTAAATTTCAGATTGTGTTTCCCGTTGCACGAAGTACAGGTGAGGGTGAAGTGAATTTTGAATTCGACTGAAATAGTGGAAATATTTATGTAGGATTAGAGTATTTTAGGAATATAGAATTCGGATAATATTTTGATGTCAAAAAATACATAAATGTTTAAAATTTTATATTTATTTTCAAGAAATCTATAGCTATATCTTGTGCTTAATTCCATTAGAAGGTACCTAAAGTATACAAATTACATAAAATGTAGTTGAATAGATGTATTTGCTACTTTAAAAATTGTATTACCTTTTATTTATAAGAAGATTTGTAATTTCATTCTTGTTATCCTCAGCTTTATTCCACTTAAAGCCACGAAGTTCTTGTTTCAGGCCGTTGCATTGTGACCAAGAAGACTCGGACGTTTATTTTATCCTATTTTCAGTGCTTAGGTAAAGCCAAAGGATTTCAGACCAGAGAGCTTTTCTTGGGTATTTATACGCTGCTCGCTGCCAAGTACAACCAAAAGCTGAGAACTATTACAATAATTTTTATATTTATTTATGAGCTGAGGAAACGAGAGACCTAAGTCCTGAGATGTTGTCGCTTGTGCGCTTATTTTAAAAATACATTTCTATGCCTGCGTTCCGGCATTTTCAGCTTAGTAAGCATTACTTGAACTTCACTCGGCATTAGTTTTTGTTTCGGCCCAGGGAGAAATTCCGGTCACGTGGCTGTCATTGGATATCGAAAACTACGTATTCCCCAATGGGAATTCCGAAAGACTAACGAGCGTGACAAATGCAAATGAAAGCAACGGATCCGAATCTCATGTTGACCCTGTGGACATGGCACAGGCGAAAGGTTAAGAGACCGTGTCTAAGAGCCAAAAATCTAATCAAGTGATTTGATTGAATCAGTAATTGTTATGAATGCTAGTGAAGACATGCGATTTCCTGGGAGATAGACATTTACACGGCAAAGGCAGTTGTGCATGGGTTCCTCATGTTTTAAGCATGTGTTGTAATATTTTTAAAACTTTCATTATTTTCTATAATGCGATTAAGTAAAACATAATTATGTTTGTTACGTTATATTCTATTTCAAAATATAAATTGGAATATAATTACTATCATTATTTGGTCAGAAACACATTGCCGTTTAAACTAAATAATAATCATTTCTATTTTAGTTCCAGGGAAAACCAATTTAAATAAATTTGATAAGTTCTTATCATGGCGAAACAAAAGCAACTATTTCTCTACTGGGAATGGGAAACTGGAATTCAATGCATTTAAATGTTTGCATTAAATCAACCTAACAAAAAACTCATATAGATTTCATACAAATGAGAAACCATTAAAATGTTAAAATTCCCCAAATATGTTAATATGAAAACAACATATCAGAAACCCAATGGAACCTTAAATTCAGCAAACTTAAACAAACAGACTTTAAATTCAGAAAGATAAGCGATTTCCCTAGTCAAAGAGTTATAAATGAATTTTGTTCTTTTGCCTTTTCGAAATTTTTGCAATTTTCCACTTGGCAATGTTTTTTTTTTGGCTGACTGTCGTGTTGCCCCAAGGGTCCGCTGCAGTTGCAAATGGTTGAAATTACATTTTTCGCATTAATAAAAATGAAATAAAAATAAAAGCCCAGCTCCTCCTGTGCACGAAATATGCAAATGTGCCGCGTGCAGCGCAGCAGATAAAACTGAGCAGGATACCCATATGTGAGCTCAGGTCCTTTTTCCACTATTTTTGCTGGGTGGACTTTGGCTGGAGTTTTCGGGTGTCACACTCGTAATGTGGAGCAGCTGTTGCAGGCAGTGCCAAAAGTCACAATAAATTCGGGCATTAGTTCCTTCCACTCCCTCTTTTGCGGAATTCAGCATCCACTGGCCCCTGAAATGTTTTGAATATAAATAAATAAGGTATAAATAAATTGAGAAATTTCGTTTGGCATAAATAAAGTACAGTATGGCTTAAATTTAATGATGCGAAAATATTTATTCAAAACTTGAAAGCGCCGCGAGATATCCCCGCGAATGCTAATAATGCCCAAGCTTAAATTGCCGCTGGCTATTTACTTTTGTTTTATTTGGTAACAATTAATTAGTTCTTCATGGCGCTATGACAACAAAGATAGGGGGATCCATCTGAATGGCCCTCGGAATTTATTATGAATATTTCAACAGACAATTAGTTCTCCCCGTCATGAATCAAGAATATAATTCTCGGTTTATTACATTTTAAGCAGATTGCTTTAGATGGAAATCGGATCTGCTTTTCTCTTTGAATGTGTGTTAGCAACTGAAAAGCAATTTAAAAGCAATTTGAGGTCTTTAATGATTGTAAAAATATGTTAATTATATTATATTTTCTTTAATAACAAATTTTTATATAATTGATGATGAGTAGGAAAAATTCTACAAAATAGGTGTTTATTAAAATTTAAAATAATTATTTTTATCTAATTTCTAACTTATTAAGTACTACTTCCTAACTAACATTGACCTCAAAAAAATTTTCCAGCTGCTGCAAATGTTTTGGGGCAGTGTAACTTAGCCAGTTTGGTATAGGCACAGTTATCCTTGGTCTTGAGCTTCCATAACCGCGAGAACTTGTTCCAAACATGGATCACCGGGGATTTGGATATTCTTTTCATGGTTATATTGATTTTGTTGGGCTGAAAGAAATGCCTCCACTCCAGCCAGTGAATCGCGTAGAATTCTTTCGGATCGTAGACTTTGAAACCCTTGCATCGCTTAGGATTCGTAATCATTTTATAGATGCTGTCGGTGCTGCACTGCTTTTTGGCAACTCGGGTTATGACCCCGGGTCCATTGCTTCCCCATATATTGGCATCGTAGTTGGCCTGCAGATCCCGCAGACACTGGGAGGCCAACTTGTGGCCCAAACCGGTGGAGGACATTTTCATAACACCGCAGGCCAAGGATCTGTTGCTCTCGGCGCCCGTGAAATTTGGTGGCAGCTTCTCTAGATTCTTCAGAACCACCACATCAAGATCCAGGTAAAAGCCACCATATTTATATAACGTTATATAACGCAGCAGATCGGAGACATGTGGAAAAAGATATTTCGATTTGAATAGCTTTCCACCTTTTAGCCATTTTTCGATGGGAGTGCCAGCTGCATATTTCCAAACGTTGAGATGTCTCAATCTTATGTTGTTATATTGACTCAAGGCCTTGATTAGGGAATCTCCTTTTGAAATTCGATGGGTGGCACCTGCGAAAAGCACAAATACAGCGAGGCGTGGATTGTGAAGGGCGGCCGATTCAATGGCACATGCCTCCCGAGGCGTCAATTTGATCAGCTGGATCTTCTCGTCCTTTCGGAAATTGGTGGTTTCATGGAAGAATACACTTTGTCCAGGCCGGGGTTGATTTTTTGCTTTTAATACGTCCAACAGGGGAATTGCTGGAATTCTTTTTAGCTTTTTCGTCTTGAATTTTGGTTGACGGGGCACTGGTTTAGCTCGTCTTTTGATAATGTGCTTTTTCACCGGTTTCTTAGGCTTATTGGTCTTCTTTTGGGTGGTTTTTTTTGGAAGCGGATGTTCTTTCTTTGTTGTGTTCTTCAGTTCTGTATGTTCTTTGGTTATGTTACTGGTCTTCACAGAGACGATCTTTGGATTTGATGTCATCCACTTGTAGGTGAATACGATGCTAAGAATGAGGGCCAGTGAACCTACAACGGTTAGCGATCGTGACACTTTCATTACGAGAATATTTTACTGCACTCCCACCACGTGATTCGTGTTAACTAAAACCTGCATTCGTTTCACTTGACATATAAAATTGTAATTATACTCGGATAATAAAAGTCTTGTCACAAAACAAAATATTCCCTAAGAAATACCCCTTTATTGACGAGTTCTTAATTATTTTATTGTAAAATTTCATTTGCGCGCTAGAAACTGACCCAATTAATGGATAACTTTAAAATATATACATTTATTCAATCAAATCTTTATGCATATACCCAAAATCAACTCAATCGGTAGATCTTAAAAAATATATTTATGCATCGATAAGATGTTCCTAAACGTTATTTCTACACCTGATTATCATCGTTAAGGCTTTTAGATTGAAAACGGCACATGCCAAATGTCAAGCGTGACCAAGTCGAAAATATGCTTATCTTGGCCAGTACCTTTCCTATATAAAGAGGCTTGAGTAGCCACACTGCTTTCAATTCGAGTTTCCACTGGCAAATATGAAGTTACTGGCTCTTTTCGTTACCATTCTGGGTGTGGTGGCCGTGGTCCACGGTCAGGCGGAAGAAAAGTCCAAGAACACGAATCACAATGTGATCGTCATTGGAGCCAACAAAGGTGCACCAGCTCCTGCTGACGGGACTGCGCAACCTGCAGCTAATCCGCGGCAACAATACCCTCATGCCTTATAAAGCTGTCCAGGCCAATTTATTTATAATAAAACGGAGCCCATATAACTTCATACATATTGAAACGTTCTTTAATGTATTATCGAATTCAACTGCACTTTCTCTTAACCAAAGGACTTTCAACACTATTACTTAGGGGAAATCTACAGATATTCGCTTAGATTGCTGAAACAATAATATCTAAGGTCACAGATACTTGTAGATTAGGAATTCAGTAAAATCTCTTTCAAATTTCGAAGTAAACTAAGGAAGGAAACTTAAAGGAAACCATAAAACTCTAGAAATTTGTAAAGATAAAGGTAGCCGGGAAATAAAACTTTTGAAACTCTGGGCAGCTTTCTTTTGGTATGTCTGGCTTGCCACGTTTATTTTCCTTAATTTTGGTTGTAATCAGTCTATAATGTCAGCGTGGTCATTGAATTAGTTTTACTTTTTCTTGCTTTATCATGGTCTATTTTTTCTAATAATTGGGTTTGTGTCGCTTACGCAACACCTAGGTTATAAGGAATGGACTCATCAGGTATGGAACCATTTCCAATCTCCACTGGTAGACATGAAGTTCCTTACTGGTTTTTTCGTGCTGTTCGTAGCTGTGGCTTTAATCAATGGTCAAAAGGATCAGAATGAAAACAAAAATGTTATCCACATTAACAATGTCGTTCCCGCCGCAACTTAAGTTTGCACAAACTGGTTATTTAATAAAAATAATATAAATATTTGCATGTAATATCATTGTCCTTTTTATTTTAATAAATAGTTACAATATACAAATATATTGAGTTAATTGAATAAGACTAGCACAAAAATGTACTCTTGGCTTGAACCAGAATAGTAAAATTGTTTTTATAATTTACAGATCTTGATATCCGATATTAGTCATTTATCACTTATCACTGATATCACTTATCTCTATTCCCAAAAAAACCTTATTTATATTTTTATCAGTAACAATACAAAAAAAGTAATTCTTCGTCATCATGTTTTAAGTTTTAAATATTATTTACTTGGCAAAAGATTCAAAGAGGACAAATACATTTATCTTTGTATTTATTATACATTGGTCTTGGTGAAATAATTTGTACAGTGCAATTTGAATTCTTCAATTGGAAAATTATCTGTAACTATAAACTTTGCTTAGTTATAGAAAGGTTAAAAATGCTTTAGGAAACGAATCGAAACGATTTTGTTTGCTTATGCAACACTTGCCTTATAAATGGTTTCAGCAACGGGTTCAGACTTTATTGGAAAACTTGGCTGGTAGACATGAAGTACTTCACGGCTCTTATTTCCCTATTCATCGCTGTATCTCTGGCCTTGGCCCAAGAAAACGAAGCCAATGAAAACAAGAATGTTATACACATTAACTAGGGAGCCCGAACGTTTAAATTGCGATACAATAAAAATATAGTCGTGGTGCGATAAACTAAATGTAATAGTTTTTGAGTACGTTCCTACGCAAATCTTAAAAAAATGGATTAGTTAGTGTTTCAATATTGAATACCTACCTATTTTTTTATCAGCAGTAAAGATTCAGTAAAGAATCTTTGTTCTTTCGTCGTGATTTTGCTCTGTGGAATACTTTTTAGGTCAGTTGGTATGAAATATTTACTCTTACTCTTACTATAAAATAAAATAAAACCTGACTCGTACCTTGTAAGGGATCCCAAATTTGTATCGAGCAACATGAGTTCAAAATGTACTTATATTGTGATATATCAATTATTATGAATAATACGACAGTCACAAGTTAAGTCATTTTTGCCACTAAATTAAGGAAGCTAAGTTGGTATCTTTTTTCTCAAATTTAGCTCTTTTTTATGGTTGCATAGGGAGTTGTCCACATATACGAACATCTAGCTTTTTCTGTTTTCAACAAACTTTTTATTGTTGTTTCAAGTGGCATTGTTGTTCCAGTTGCTGCCACAGATAACTACGTGCTAAGAAATGTATAGCGAACTGCACAGGCACAATATATTCTATATATATTGTAGATACTTTCCTGGAGAGGGCGATAGAGATTCATGGAGAAGGCAGCCAGACAATGGCCGGCGCCCACGTCTCCATGGACGCATTCTAATAAAAAGCAAGCGCAGAGAGTGCCGTTCTGTGTGTAGCCGTTTTTAGCACTGCCTAGAATGTTTCCACAGTTTCTTCATCTATCTGCCATAGTTTGTTCGTATTCCCTACGATAGAGATGGGAAAGGGTTTCGTAGCTGTTTGTTATTTATAAGGAAGTGTGGCTTAGAAACTGCATAGCTTTAGGCTTTATAATAGCAAATATATTGTGAAATATCATTGTAATATTGGTAGAGCTGAATATAATAAATATATTTGTAGATGTCTTGATAAGTTCTGACAAAGCATATCTAAGCTTTCTGTCTTGATATATCATATAGTGACCTGAAATAAATATTTAAACTGAATAAATAATTCCCTGCTCATCACTAATTCTCCGCCACAGTTGAACTCCTGCTGCTGCTCTCGAGTTTTTAGGCTTTTTTGTTACTTGGGCAACATTTGAGTTATAAATGCCGCACTACTTGAATGAATCTCCTGGGCGTAATAGTTTTCAAATGGCTTTCCGTATATGACTGTCTTCTTCCCTTCGGTCGGAGATTCGTTTTCTGTCTTTGTTGCAAACGTATCGCACACAAGTGGCTCTCTGTCTTTGGGCCAAAAGCGCTTGCCAATGCAAAAATGGCCCTATGAATCTGTGGTTCTGGCCGGAGTGAGCTGTTAGTGGGCAGCAAATTTGGCATTTTGTGCCATTGAGTGGCCGAGACTCTTTCAGATCCATAAATAATTAAAGTTACCCTTATTTCCGATTTAATGCCAGCCAAAATGGGAAGTTCTAGTTGATTGGCCTTGGGTTTGTTAAGCGTTTGCTTACTAAGCAAATGACAACGTTTCCTGGACTATGGGATATAATTGATTTAAGTTTTATGGAGCCATGCCTCCAACATTTCCTACCCAAGGGTCTTATAAAAAACATTTATAGCATAGGTCCCGTAAAACTTAAAGCTTTAAATACAAAAATTTAAAAATGTACCAAAATAAATAAGTAGCTTAAATAAAACAACGAATATTGTTAAATAGGTATTATTATAAACTGAAACATTGAAAATTATTTGATTGTTGCGATTAAGTAATGCAGTAATATTTATTCTTTTATCTACAAATTATTTACCGACCTTCCCAAAAACCATTTAACTTGGATTGATGTTTGGCCTAATTTATAAATTGCCTGGTTTACGGAAATCGCCTTTCGCCAATCAATCGCCATTGATTATGTGCCCGGCTTTTATCACAATAATGAGTCCGTGACGGCCTTGAGCCAAGGCAAATAAATCAATTTTTCTCGTTTCCGGTCAATTAGTGGCGTCCGAATGGTTTGCCAAAGGTTGAGAAGTAGAACTAATCGCCTGATTCCATTGCGAAGGCAAAGCAAACAGAGGGCAAGCGAAATGTTTACACTTCTCCTCCAGTTCATTTGGTATTTATTCTTTCGCTTTCAACTTGTTGCAGTTTACTTTTGCCTTGCAGAGAGTCGAGTTTCTCAGCTGGCCATTTCCCTTTGAAGACACTCGGGCGTATTAGCAATGTTAATAATGCTCCTGGCCCTGTGTCCCATATTAAATGCTAATTCGCATACGGCACACGATCCCAAATGGGGAACTCTACTCCCCAGTTTGACTCTCATTTTTTCCTTTTCTTTTTTTTTTTTTTGATAGGGGACCACGGCTACGCTACATGACATTTACAACTTATTATTATGCAAAGGACACGCTGTGGAGTCTCTTTTCCGTTTGCATCGCCCCCCATCCAACAAGCGCTTTTCTTTCTCATATGTTGCAAAATCTGCTGCGGCGTTGGGAAATTTGCATTTATTCATGGCATAAATAAAGCATCCGCAGCATAGAGGGGATGCCGAAAAAGGGATATATTTAATCTGGTCACCCCTTACTGGTGAAGAGCTTGTGTGGCGTTCAGCAAAATCCTGACGGCACTTCGTGGGATGTTGGATGTGGCAAGTGCATGGGGATGGGTACCTGGATGTCGATGTGTTTTATTTATAATTTATTTGCCGGAAAGTGCAGCTCACGGGGCGAGGAAAACACCTGCCGCTGACGGCCGCAGGTGCAGCCGCAAAAGTGACGCAGATTTTGTTTGCCCAACGCTCCTCTCTATAACAATTACATGCATTTAAAATCTGGTTTCGGTTTAGAGATTCGCGGTCTGGTACAACTCACTCATGCCCTGCCATTCTCCACAGGTCAATCAGGGATGCAGTCCTTGGTTTCCAAAAAATAATGTGCTAAACATTAAGAAATCGTAAAACAAAATTCCTGAAAGTTCTGAAAGATATACATTTTAGGCAAATATTTCAAATATCAGATTAGTTTTTAACATAAACTATTTATATTCTATATATACCTTTTTACATTTTATGAAAAATGAAAAGGTATTAGGACATTCATTACTTTGGTATTTTTAAGTGTCATAAGTGAAACAAATCAATTTTTTAATTTTAAGCCAATAAATGTCACTTAAAAAACAAACGACGGGTTATATTAAAACAGTTGATCAAATTTTCTGTTTGCCAGAGATGCTTGGCAAATTGGCTTTAATCCTTTTTCTGTTTAGTGGAAGACTGGCACAATCAACTGGTAAGAAATAAATACGTTAATAGGGCAAATAAATATAAAACCTAATAAATATACTTAGATGAAAATGATAAAAACATGCACAACCTGTTGGTTTGTATCAGACAAATGGAGCCAAATTCGAAGGACACCATTTTGAAATTTCCGAACAGCTGTCAAGACTTGATGAGCAAGGTCGTCGATCACTGGAAGTTGAAAAAATTCGCTAAACAAGATCACAAAACAAAAACAGGAACGAAGGTATCCTCAAAATGGAGAACTTGGCGACCCTGGCCATAAAGCTTAAGCATAGTATACAAAAACTGTTTTTAAACCAAATTTCCGCTCAATGTAAAAATTAGAGGTCAAAGTCAAAATACAGTTTTATATAGGGGTACATCCAAAATTTTAAATTT